AATGCATTTGACTCGCCAAATATGCTACTCGATAGCATTAACAAAGCAATCTATGAACCATTGGGGAGGGAAATGTTAACAAGTCAACCTCGAGGCTTAATTATCAAACATTTAGAAACAACAAAAACTAAAATTCAACTACAAAAATTAAAGTTTAGTAGATCGATCTAGTAATAATGGGACAATACTGTCATTTAATTCAAACAAATGGCTAGATCCGTGGATAAAGAAAATGTCTCACAAGCTACCTTCTGCTGGTTATTTCATGCAATTTAATTCTCCGAGATATAAAAGTATGCTTTGGAAATGGTAGATATGGAAGCAGATCTTGAAGCTTGAGCAAATGAAGGGAGAAATAAGCCAGATAGTTAGGCACTAGTAACAAAAGTATGCTTTGGAATTAGTAGCTACTGGAGCAGAGATTGATGCTCGAGCTAGAGATAGAGGCCACGAGCTTTTGATTTCAACCATATATGCCATGGATTATTTGAGCTGCATTTCTAATTCGTATTTTTAATAAGGTATTGTGATTTCATAGGTTAAATAAATAAAAAAATGATGTGCCTTGATTGTAGTTTTATGAAGAATATTGCATATGCATGGGTTTCATCTTTTTGAGTGATTATGTAGGTCATTTTAATGTATCGGTCGGGAGCTTTAGCTACCAACAAAAAATCTTGGATTTGAAGCTTACGTATGTAATGTGTATGTTTTTTTTTTCCTTAATTGGCTCAAATTTCCCATACAAAAAAACCTATGAGTGATTTTTATTCGAAAGATTTGGCTACATATACCTCACACTTCATAATATTTTTTTATATGATATAAATCAACTAAGAAAATAAATAGATTTATATGTTAAAAGTTGACTAAAATACAATCTAATAGAGAAGCTGCATAAGAGAAGAAGATAGACATAATATTATTTTTAGCCAAATCTTTTATATTAATAAATATTTGCTTTCAAACATGGAGCTAGGACTCCATTGTTTCTAAGATAGGAAGCATATAATATTTAAATGGCTTTCAATAAAAGATTACCTTAAGTTCGATGATAGTGAGCACATAGATAACAGCAATCATTGTTCCATGATGGTTTACTAACATCGATGGAAAAATATATTATTTTATAAATTTTTTAAGTTGACATTCTATTTTTTTTCTTCAGGAATTATGGATACTCATATGTAACACAATCATTATTCTTCTTTTAAAAATATTTTAGTACAAAAATTTTATTCTTAAAAACTGTTTAAAAATAATAAAAAAGTTGTCACAAATGTTGCTTAAAACTCCCAACCAAAAAGGAGAAAATGAGTTAATCCCAATCATTTAATTTATAATGATATTTTAGCTTTTTGTCTAATAAATATTAGCCATCCCATCTAATTAAGCCCGGAAGGCTATTTGGAGCAGATGACTTCAACTAAAATTATATTTCCAATAGAAGCAATTATTTGCATAGCTTTTGGAATCAAAT